ACTAATTTTAGTAATTAATAATTTTTAATTAATAATTAAAATAAGTTATTACATTTACATTTACATTTAATTATAAGTTAAATTTTTATACTAAAAAATTTAGCTTTTGGCTTATTACATATCAAGTATTTTAAGGTTGGCATATGATTTTGAGTTGGCTGAGCAACACAATGAGGATTAATTGCACCAGTACTATCGATGCTATATATTGTATTGTGGTGCAGGAGGAACATCTAAATGAGTTTATAGTGGTCCTACAATAACATATTCAAATTATTAAGCCCTAATTTGTTGTTGATTTATGACTGATGAGTTCCATCATGTTATGGTAGTGTTATTTATTGGCCAACCCCATATATTAGTTAAAGGATTTAGGCATGATGCTCCATCACATGCCTCATATTTTGGGACTAATTCCCATATTAATGGGTATTGTAGCGAAAAAAATCAACTATTAGCCTTGAATTGGTGATGCTAGGATATTGGGATGCTTCCTATAGAGGTGCTAAATGTCTGTATACTAAAAAATATCACAATAATTGATAGATAATTTTATGTCATAATATTATATCAAAATATTTCACATGCACAAAGAAATGAAAAAAAAAGAGATATTATGTTTTTTACATGAAAAGCCCAAGAATATATATATATATATATACACACACACACACATATAACAACAATGAGGCTGGTCCTAAATGAAATGATTAATTATGCAATTACAATTTAACTTGTCTGTATTTTCATCAAATAAAGAATACATGATTAAAAAATAGTGAACTCAAATTTGATTACTTATAATTATGATAGAGCTTAATGTAGGAGTAATGGGCTGGCGGTAGCAATTGGATGATGTTAGTCAAGTGCTAGTTGGTAGGGTGTTAGTGGTTAAACTACAACAATTGAATAATAATCAGATGACAATTATTGAATGACTATGGATGGGTGTTGATAACGGAGCATTGATAGTTGGATAATAGTGATTGGACAATAATGAATGAACAATGATAGTGGAGTGGTGGTGATTAGACAATGATGGATAGACGACTTTAGTTTGACCAACAAAATTGAATGGATCATGGTAGCTAGGTGACAACAATTACATAATCGTTGTCGCACAATGACAATTGGGTGACAACAGTGCCATATGATAATTTTTTGCATCGAATGCTACGTAGGGTTATATAGTTTTTTTATACATTGAAGTTATTCGATACAATGTTTTTTATAATATATGAGAGTGGTATTTTGGTTAATATTGAAAAAATCTTAAAACACCCCATCAAATGTCATATATTGATTCATTTGCCCATAAATTATTCTTATATCATTTAAGTGACTTAATGACCTTAAAATTGAGTAATTTTAAGCTTGCAGGTTCTTCTCATTGAGCTGCCCATTTTAAATGCAAGCAACCAAAGGTGAAAGATCATTCAATCCATCAATTAATGTCTCAATATTTCAACCACACTTTAAATACTTTATTGGGTTCATTTGCACTAAGACCTGATTACTTTATGCATTATTGGGTTCATCTTATTGAGATATTCAATTTGAGTATAAATTTGTTGAAATAATAGTTTGATACTTCGAGTAACCTAGAAATTAATTTAGAATTATTATTATTTTTGCATTAAGCTCTAATTAATGATATTTCTGGCATATCCGAGGTTCTGAAAATCAAATCGACAAATGAATCAGATGAATAAGAGGTCCACGGTTAGAAGGTGTGACCAGGATTGAACTCGATGACATAATAAATACTAATTTTACTTAAGTATATCATATAAGATAAGCAAAACAAGTAAGATAACTTAAAATACAACAAACAAAATGCATATGAAATAAAATGGTAAATATTAAATATTAAATTATATAATGCCGCATATCAAATATTTAATTAAATCCTATTAATTTAAAGCAAGTCATATTTAATAAGAGTAAATCATTTTAATTTCAAGCGGAATTCAACTGGATTTTTAAATATCGAAAAAAATTGTTTGTGACACGGGAAATTCTTTGTCAGAAGAAGCTAGAGCCCAAACGGCCCGACAACCCGGCCCATTCCATTCGCCAACACGATAATGACCGGCTTCCCGCTCATTCGCATTCTTCAAATCGTCTTCGTTCAAAACCCAAAACTAGCGAACAAAACCCTATTTCATCTTCCTTCCCAAATCAATCTCTTCCATCTCCCTCTCTATACATGGCTCCTCCTTTTATCTTCCCGTCAAATATCCAAGACCTAGAAGAAGAACCCGACGATCACCGCCTCTATGCCATCTCACCAATTGATGTCACTAGTCTCAGCCCCTCCGAGCTCGATGAGCTTGTTAAAGGTATTCTCTCGTTCACGCCATTGTCGCTTTTACTCGAAGAGCCTATATGCCACTTATTATTTTTCCATATTTTCGTCATTTGGGAAAAAAGGGGTTGTTTTTGATCTCTCCGACAGAGATCTCTTTTGCATCGAGGACCACGACGTATTTGACCGTGTTTACTCCCTCGTGAAGGGATTCTCCCTCCTCTCACCATCTTCGAAGTACTATCTCGTCGAGACCATTCGGTCTAATCTCGCTGTCCTTCTACCCAATGTTGACTCTCTCGCGAGGGCCCCTCAGTCATCGCCATCCAACTCTGGTATCGACCAGGTACCAATGAGCGAGCGCATTGCAGTCCATCGGAATGCTCTGAAGATATATACGTACTTTCTTATCACTATAGTGCTTGTCCAGGAACCTAAACAGGATACCTGCACGGCCTCTAAGGTAATAATGTGATTTGAGACAGGAAGCCCTTGGGTTCGGGAGTTTATCTTGACTGTTCTCGTTTTACTTGCTCAGGGTGCTGGGCAACATTTAAAGAAGAGCTTGTGGAATTCTGAGGCAATTAGGGGTCGGATAATCAATCTAATAGCCAATTCTTTAGAGATTAACCTGGTTCTTCTGTTTGGACTTGGTGACACCGTTGGGAGCTATCTCTCATTCATTTCCAAGTGAGATTTCATGCATTGGGTTGATGATTTCTTGGCTTTCTTAACCGCTTTATCTCTAACAACATCATACATGTTTGAAGGTTTGCTTTCAGCCTTTATGAGAACCAGGCATTTTTGAAGGATTTAAGCACAAAAGATGGCCTTGGCCACATCATAGGTTGCATTGCGACAAAACACAAGAGGACAGCTGAATCATGTGCCTCAATCCTCCACTTGATTTACAAATTTGACTTTGCTGTTCCCCATCTTGTTGAGGCGGTTGCTGCTGCAGTGAAAAGGTATGATGATGGATGCCTTGCTGTTGCTTTAATCAGGGAATTTGGCCTGACTGATCCAAAGGACTATGCAAGGGATAGTATCGGGGCAGAAAATGTTGGGAGATTCATTGTTGAGCTTGCTGATCGATTGCCAAGGTTGGTGTCAACAAATGTGGGGTTCTTGGTCCCTCATTTTGGGGGTGAATCTTACAAGATACGGAATGCTCTTCTTGGGGTCTTAGGAAAATTGGTCGCAAAGGCATTCAACGATTTCGAAGGGGACCAAAGCTCCAAGATTTTGCGTCTTCGGGGAAAGCAAGCCATGTTAGAAATCCTGATTGAGCGTTGCAAGGATGTTTCAGCATATACGAGAAGCCGTGTGCTTCAAGTGTGGGCAGAATTGTGTGAAGAACGTGCTGTTTCAATAGGACTGTGGAATGAGTTGGCGCTAGTGGCTTCAGGAAGGTTGGAGGACAAAAGTGCAATTGTTAGAAAATCAGCTCTAAATCTGCTAATCACGATGCTTCAGCATAACCCTTTCGGACCACAACTTCGCGTTGAAACCTTTAGTGCAACATTGGAGAAATACAAAGAGAAATTGCTTGTTTTGGAACCTGCTAGGTCAGAGGATGATCATTTTGATAATGAAATTACGAGTGGAGAAGACTCTCACAAGGTCGCTCCTGGTTGTGATGTGCTATGTGGTGAATCCTTAGTACAATCAGAGGTGAGTGCCGATGATAGTTTCTTGCCTTCTAGTCAAGCTCAAACGCAAGAGAATGCTTGCGTCCCAGATATTGGAAACTTGGAACAAATTAAGGCATTGGTAGCGTCATTGGAGGCTGGGCTACAATTCTCAAAGTGCATAGCTTCCACAATGACAATCTTGGTTCAACTTCTTGCTTCATCTTCTGTGACTGATGTGGAAAATGCGATTCTCTTGCTAATGCGTTGTAGACAATTTCAGATAGATGGATCTGATGAATGCCTTCGTAAAATGTTGCCTTTGGTAAAGCTATATATATTCCTACTTTATTCATTCTTTTGAATCAACTTCATGGTGTACGTCCTTAAAGAATTTTATTTTTATCATGGTTTGGCCTTTTCAGGTATTTTCCCAAGATAAGTCCATTTATGAGGCTGTGGAAAATGCATTTGTCAGTATATATATAAGAAAGAACCCTTTAGAAACAGGCAGAAATCTACTAAATTTGGCGATCAATTCTAGCATAGGAGATCTTGCAGCCTTAGAATGTCTAATTGGTTCTTTGGTGTCGAAAGGGGAAATATCACAGAGCACGGTATGAGCACTTATCTTGATGTTTCATAGTTGCTATAAAAATGAATATACAAAATATTTTAAACTTGCATGTGTTTTCCTTTTAGTTTTTTGTCCATAAACTTTGGTTCAATTCTTCAGAAGCAAACATGACTTTTAGAAGTTGTGGCAATTCTTTGGACCTTTGTAAAGTTGCATAAGTTGTTATGAATTTTATAACAATTGGTTGAATAGTTTCTATCTGTGAACATTCCCATCAAACTCAACTCACATGAATGATTACAAATAAACTTGCTCATTATTTTTCTTTAAGCAAAGCATATTTATATTATGGAAATTGTTCTAGCTTCTCATGCATCAAATCAAGATAATGAGCAGTTCACAGAGTTTACAACCCTACATGTACTTTTATTATTTGTTAGCATTCGAACAACTATGTCGTCTACCACTTCAACATTTACATCAATAAGGAAGTTGATAATGCAACATTGTCATATGTACGATCAATCACTTGTTTATTATTGTTACCTTTGCTTCAGTCCATATCTTTTCACTTCTTCAACCATTTTTATTGTTGTCATTAAATTCTTATCTAACATTAATGTTTGAAGCTTATAATTGTGAGGAAGATCTAATCCTTGACCATAATTCCTAATAAAGTGAAGAATTTTATCCATGAAGGATTCATTGCCATATTAAATGAAATTTCATTTTAAGAAAAGTATTTGGATATGTCTAAACACACTCTATTTCAATGTTTATTTTTGTCTATGTTGGAGGAGGTATTCTTTTGTGTTATTTTTCTCAACTTCATCTAAAATGAAATCAAATCTATTAATTGGTCCTTGAGTTTGTCCATCAAAAGAAAAAAAAAGCTCTTACAAGATCGTCTTGCCAAGAATCATAGTAAGAACTACTTGGAATAATTTTCTTTATATCTTTTTAAATTTTTTCTTTTGAGATGGCAAAAATTTTTAAAATATTTTGTACATTCATTTTTGTAGCATCTAACACTCTTTCTCATGCTCCAACAATAAGTTTGTGTGCAAGTTAAATTATCTTTCATTATTTTAACACGACCAATAATTTTCTTTACACAAGATTTATATTTTAAATTGATAACATTTTTTATTGCATATTCTCCTGGTACTTTGACTTGAGTATCATAGTTTCAAGCTATAATTTTCCTTGCACTACCAACCATTATAATAAACTAAAAGAAAAACAGTTAAACAGACAATCAAAAAAGAAAATAATCAAAAGTAAGTGATAAAAAACCTAAATGCTGAAGGAAAAGAAAAAACTCAATTAAAATAAAATGAAAACAAAAATCAATTAAAAAGAAAAAAAAGAAAATGAAAAAAATATTTAAAATAAAACTAAAAAATGCAAATTAATAAAAAAAAACTGTAAAAAGAAAATACAAAAAAATTTAAAGAAAGCTTAAAAATTAAATTAAAAAAATAAAATAAAATATATTTTAAAAGAAAAGAAAATAGTAAAAAAAAATAATGCGAACTAGTATAATAAAATTAATAAAATGAATATTAAATCTAAAAAAAGATTAAAAGAATATAAAAAAAAATTTGAAAGTGAACTAAAAAATCAAATCAAGAAAAATAAAAATAAAAATCGTAAAGTGGGAATAGGAAATAAAATAGTGGTTAAAAGAGAAAACAAATCAGTTAAAAATAAAACAGCAAAAACATGTTATGAATGGAAAAAGTAGAACCTATTGGAAGATGGTTGCTCCTTGGCCCTTGCAAACGGATGTTGGCTCCCCACTTGCAGAATTTACTTCTATAAGCACGCGTAGCAAATATCGCTCCATAACGAACGCTGTTGTTAGTGCTTGTAGAGTCCCGTTGGCGTTAGCACAACTTTTGAATCATCGCTCTACATCTTCAAAGTGATCTAATTTCGAAATCTAACATCTTAAACTCTCTTATATATATGACTTAAAGAGTGACGTGATTTTATTTTATTTTAGATCTCAACTTATACATTTTTTAGGTATATAATCTCAAGGCGTACATCTCGAATGAAAAGGCACAAGCCTCGCTTAGGCCATCGAATTTTAAGCTATGATGTGCTTATAGGGCGCCTTATAGTAAGTTGCACCTCAAGCCAAACGTGTCAAAGGCCTTGTTAAACTGTTGAGAGGACAGTTTAGGCGTAAAATATGAAAAATATGTAAATAAGATAAGTAGTATTAGGAATTGATGCCCATTTCTACATAATGCTCACAAAAATTCTAAACAATTCGCAAATTTTTTTTTTTCAGATTTCTGCCTTATGGGATTACTTCAGCTTTAACGTCAGTGGTGTGGAGGCAGCTCAGAGCCGTGCAGCTCTGTCAGTTCTCTGTATGGCAGCAAAATCTTCTCCAGGGATTCTGAGCTCTCACTGGCAAGATATAATTGATATTGGTTTTGGACGTTGGGCAAAGGTGGAACCTTTGCTTGCAAGAACCGCATGCGTTGCTCTTGAAAGACTGCCAGAGGAAGATAAGAAAAAATTACGGTGCAACGGAAGCAATGTTTTTGGAGTCCTGCAGAGTTTAGTGACAGGGTTTTGGCTTCCAGAAAGCATTTGGTATGCCGCGGCTGACAAAGCTATCAGTACTATTTACTCCATACATCCAGCACCCGAAAATTTTGCTGTTGGCATGGCAAAGAAGTCTTTGAATTCGGTTTTCAGTTGCACTGTGATTGATGAAACGCCTGATCAAGTAGACAGTGATGGAATGAACTCTTCTATAATTTCGACATCAAAGCTTGGTAGATTTCTTTTTGTTATAAGTCAAATTGCTCTGAATCAGTTGGTTTATATTGAATCTTGTGTTAGAAAAGTCCGTTTAGAGAAATCTAAGAAAGACAAAGCAAAGTGCGAATCTGAGGTCGTTGATAGCAATTCCAATGGTGCTACTGATGTACGTTCTTTTTGCTAATTTTGCATTACTGTTTGGATTTTCATTTGCAATTCTTTGTTGTTTGAACTATGGCTAGAAGATTAGAAAATACACAATTTTTCGAAAAAAGGTTGTTCCTTTTGGTGATTAGCTGTTGCAGGGTATAAATGCAGAATTGGGCATTGCTGCATCTGATGATGCGATAATCGACTCTTTATCTGAAAGGGCAGAGAAGGAAATTATTTCCAGCAGTTCTTCGGATAAAAATGTTATTGGATATTTTGCACCTTTTCTCTCAAAGCTTTGTAGGAATGTTAATGTGATGCAGAAGGTGATTGATCTCTAACTCCAGCCAAAATAAAAATCTCAAGATTTATTTCTCATATATTTTGCTCAACTTATTTTTTCATCTCCTGATTTTATGTCCAATTTTTGTAGTATCCCGAACTGCAGCCTTCTGCAATGCTTGCTTTATGTAGGTTAATGATTATTGATGCAGAGTTTTGGTGAGCTGTTTAAATATCTAATTTATTTTTATTCATGCATTTTTATCATATATTAAATGTTTATATTAAAAATTGAATTGTTAATTTTTATTGAATAAAATTTATAGCGAAGCAAATCTACAGCTCTTGTTCACTGTGGTTGAGAATGCACCATCTGAAACCGTTCGTTCAAACTGCACAGTGGCTCTTGGGGACCTGGCAGTTCGTTTTCCTAACCTTTTGGAGCCATGGACTGAAAACATGTATGCTCGACTGCGAGATCCTTCGACATCTGTTAGGAAAAATGCTGTTCTGGTTCTTTCTCATCTAATACTGAATGATATGATGAAGGTGAGACCAGTTTTCGAGCTTTCATGTATATTTTTTGTAAACTTCTATTTCATGACAGATTATTGGTGAATAAATCAGGTGAAAGGCTATATAGATGAAATGGCTGTAAGAATAGAAGACAAGGACGAAAGAATCTCAAGTCTTGCCAAACTGTTTTTTCATGAATTGTCAAAAAAAGGTGTCCTTAAATGCTTGAATCACAAAGCAGATGAAAGTGTTGTTTTTTGGAATGTCTGATATGGATTGGTTTTATTATTGCAGGTAACAATCCAATTTATAGTTTGCTGCCTGATATCCTTGGTAGATTGTCTAGCCAAAACCTTGAAGAAGGCGTTTTTTACAATATAATGCAGTTTTTGATAACCTCCATCAAGAAGGTATTTTCTTTGGTAGAATTTTTTCTTTTGCTCCATCCAATCCTTATGTTTTCATATTTTTTAGGACAAACAAATGGAAGGTCTTGTTGAGAAGCTTTGTAACCGGTTTAGTGGAGTCGCTGGTATGCTATTGCGGCACTCTTATGTTTCTTTTCAGTCAAGATAAGAATGTTCAATCCCTTAAGTTCTTAGCGCATCTCTCTAAGTTATTACCAAATTGAACTTCATGCGTTATACTTGACATCTGAACTACAGCTTGGAGTTATACATCTTGTATACATTATTTGGTTACATCTAGACGTTGAATTTGTCTTCATGTAATGATTTCTGGTTCAGTAGAAAGCTAGGACCCCCTTGGTGGAAGGCTTTTGAGTTCTTTTTTATTTGGATAGGTACATCTCATCTTTTTGTTAATCATTATGATCATTAGAATTTTCTCACTAATTGAGGTAGGCTTCTATATTTTTTGATAGAAACCTGTAATATGAGCTTAAGCAAACAACTTTTTATTACAACAAGTGCGATTATGTTATAAGTTTATAATGATAGGTTTAAAAGCTTAAAACAAGCACATTTAATTTGGTAAACTAAGCTTTTAAAATGAGCTCGCTGTAAATTTGAAATCTATGATTTACAAAATGACATTATAAGGGAAAAGAAAGCAACCCAGTGTCAAAATAATATTCTATTAGAGTAAAACAATTTTCTTGTTGACAAGGGATTGTCAAAATAACCGTAATATGGTTATAAGTTATAATGGAAAATAGATACACTATAGCTAATGAGGGTAAACGTTGTCTAGGATTTGCTTGAAGTAGAATCAACGAGCTATGTGATCTATGAATTGCAAAACACAATCTGAATGAATGGAATTTGATGATTCATAAACCCATCCAGGTTAGATGCCCTATTTAATTATTGAATTTTTCAGTGTTATACTGGTAGTATTTGGTTTTTCTTTTCTGAAAAGGCTATGGTGTCTTTTAGAGAGTTGAAACTTTTGAGTGCAGGATACAGTGAATAACAGGCATGGTAATGAAGTCCCAGTTTATAATTTGCATTTGTTTGCTTGATCTCTTTATAGTCATACTTCATAGTTACTGCTACATCTGCAAAATTGCTTATTGCCTTTCCCAATTGACGTTCAGTGAGAGGGGATTGAAAAAGCTTGTTGAGTCTTTTAAAGCTTATGAACATGCTCTATCTGAAGATTCTGTCATGGATTACTTCAGAGCCATTATCAACAAGGTAAATGCATTCGCTACTCCATGCAGGTTTTAACCCTACTTCTCATGCAGGGAAATCTTGGTATAAATCTTTACTTTTTCAAATTGTTGGTTGATAATTAAATCCTTATCGAGGTGGACTGTTCACTGGATTAGTCTCTACTAACCTTTCTTATGTTGATATATCAGTGTAAAAAGTTTGCAAAAACGGAGGTGAAATCATCCATTGAGGAATTTGAAGAGAAGCTCAACAAGATCCATGTGGAGAGGAAGGAACAAGATGCAACTACTCGTAATGCACTGGCCCATCAAAAGAAAGTTGGTAACCTTGGAGGTGCAGTGAGGGCCAAGAAAGATGCTGGTGATAAGGCTACAGATGAAATTGATGCTGAAGGTAACCTGCTTAATTTGTATGGCGTTGTTTATTTTTTGGTGCATTTCTTCTAGTGGGTGACATCAACATACAAGTTAGCACGAATTAGCACCAAACAAAAATAGACTGCCAACTTTTTATTGAATCCACCGTTATTCAGCCGATTAGCTTTCACCTCCTCTTCACTAACCACCAGCATATCCATTGGAACTCTCTTCATCCCTTCAATATTATAACTCCCCCAAGCACTGTCATCTCTACCAGTACTCTCCATCAAATGAACCTTCCCCACATTCACCTCAGTTACCACCTGCCTCATCATTGCCACTCCTCCATTTCGTCCTTTCATCACTCCCCAAAGCGTTGGAACTCTACTGATAGTTGCCGTGCCTCCACTGCTTCTATCATTGCCACGAAACCTGCATACTCCTACAGAGTAGTTCATTTGGTGGTGGTATCTCCTATGTACGGATTGCAACTGACTTGCTATGGACCCTTGATTCTGATTTGGATCTTGTTTTTAAGTTTATGCTTTGCATTTTACTTCAACCTGTTGATCATTGTTTTGTATTTGTTGCTGCAACAGTATCCCGTTTGGTAATGTTTTTTGCCTACTTTGTTGCTGCCACAAAAAGTTGCTATAAAGTAATTTTTTGGATTAAAATTGATAATATGTTTTTTATAAAATTTGCCTTTAAAAAGTTGCTTATAGGATACTATGTATTTAACAAGAATACAAGCTTTGTTAATGTGCTCTGCGAAGCTGATTCAGGACAACAGTTTCACCATCTACTTTATTGAAAGAAGTCCAACTAAACGAGCCTAGTCTTGCTGCGTTTTAACATTCCCCTTCTCTTGTAGTATGTTCCAGCACCAACCTATTTCAACTAGGTTTCCCTTTGTCACCAATTGGAAACGCCTCTCTTATTTTTATTTATTATTCCCCTTGAGCTCTACTCTTCCCCCAAAAGACAAACAATTGATTTTGTAAAACAGTTATCATAAATGCGGACCACTGGATGGGCTCATTTTTCAGCAGTTTCAAGAGTAATGTTGTTGTAATGCAATTAGTTTCATTTGTCACTTTGTTATTTCTTTCCACAAAATTGGCAGCTTGAGAAGAGCAATGTGATCAAGCATTTCTTTTTGACATGTTTAATCTTCTCTTAGAAATTTCAGTCAACCCACCCCACCATTTTGTAGTATTAATATTGCATTCATTATTTTGTGAAGCTTTACTTTGCTTTAAATTGATCATAATTGTTAATGACCTACTATTCTTTGATCTATGCTTTGACATCTGTTTTGCATTCATTGAATTGCTAGATGAAACTAGTGAGGTAATCAACCCGTCTGAGTCATCAGAAAGTGGTCTTACAAGCACAGGATTAGAGCATGTGGAAAATGGTTTGGAAGTTCAGTCACCGAAAACTTCACGCAGAGGTGATGCAAATGCTTATTTTTTTCTACATTAGATGTGAGATGTTTTATAACTTGTAATAGCTTTCATTTTCTTTCAGGTGTCTCTAGATCCAAAATAAAGGCAGACAAACAATCACGCATACGAGAACAAAAGAATAGCAGCCCGATACAAAGTACTCTTCGGATGAACAAAAGGTCTCTCTCTTATCTTTCTCTCTTCATTAACCTCACCCCGTACGCACATACATGCTTACCATGTTCTTATTAAATGTGCACAGACAAACTTATCACATTCTTGTTAAATACATAGTACATATTAAAGCAATACAACATCTAAAATTCATTTATAATTAGAAGGAAGGGAACAAGTCTATCATTTCAAGTTATAGGTATGGGCATCATTTCTCCTTTTCAACTCTGAGTGTACATGACATTAGATCATTTTGAGCTGATTATTTTGGATTGTCAACTTTGACACAATGCATTTTTCTTTACTTTTTTTCCGTTCTTATTTAGTGCAAGAAATTGAGTTGGTATCAATCTTTATTCCTTGGACTTTTTTAACCTCACACAAATAATCAAATAAAAAATGTGGGGCACATGATTCTTAGAGGAGAAAAATCAGAGGAACTTACCTAGTTGAATAACTTACTCTATTTATTGAATATCATACAACCTAGTTGAATAACTTTTACTATTTATTGAATATCAATACAAAGATCTTTTGCCTTTATGCGATAGTAGCGAGTTTTGCAAAAAATGGATATTTTGACAGTCAATGGAATGTGAAAGTCATTTATGAATGTACAAAATACATAGTGGTTATGATATTATTGAAGTATGCTGTGGATGGATTTGTGGCATACCTAGTGGTAGTGATAGTGTAATTTATGCTATTGATCATTGCGGCACAAGTATGGTAGTGTACATGTTTTATCAGAGATGGCTACAGAGCAAACAAAGTTGTGGGACAAGTCTTGTTTGAGATGATTGTGGCTCAAGCGAGTTTATTCATATGTTTTGATGTACGAATGACTATTATTAAAGTGAAAGTTCGTTAGAAATGTTAGACCCCTTATGAACTAGCCCAAGACTAATTAAGATAGAGGTGAATTGTTATTTTAAAACAAACACAATCTTAAAACCAAAACCAAAATTCACCACAGAGAAAACACAATGCGAAAATTAAATGCGGAAATAATAAAGGAAAGAACACACCAGATTTATAGTGGTTCGGTTAAACCTTGACCTACTTTCACTCCTTGGAGGCACCCTCCAAGTATTGCACTAAACTAAGTGTCTCTCCACGATAGGAATATCGTCCTGGCCGATCAGTATAAAATAAACTCAATCATCCGGGACGATTTGGGACGATCAGAAGAAAATTAGTTACACCGTCCTGGACGATTAGTTCAAATCCGAGTACAATTGTCCTGAACATTGCCCGAAATAGAGTCTGGCCAATGTTAATCGTCCAGGCCATCGTCCTGGCCGATCCTGCGATCGGCCCGGCCGATGTGATCGTATCAATCAAGCTTAAATGCTTTCCATAATTACCAGATTAATTTAGGCAAAATTGTGCAACATCGTCCAGGCCGATGTATAGATCGTTCTGGCCGATGTCCTGAAATAAAGAATACCTAAATTGATCATGGCGGCTGATTCTTTCTGATTTGAGCCTATCGTCCTGGCCGATGCAAGGATCGTCCATGCCGATCGGCTTAATGATGGCTGCCTTAATGAGGATGATGCCCTAATTAGGGTTTCTGTTTTTAAAACGATCGTCCAGGTCGATATAAATATCGTCCCGGACGATGTTACCAAAAACAATAAACTCTAGAGAACAGACAAAAACTTCCAAGGTGTGTGTGTGCAAAGTTACATAGCATCAGGAGCCACACCAAATACAATAGACTCAAGAAAGTAAAAAATGGTACAAACTGACTCAGACCTAGTCTACCCAATTTTGAGCTGGTTCCAAATCGCAGTCTGATCTTGTGGACCTGAAATGTCAGTAGATAAGGCAGTCATAGAGAAATAGGAGTGTTTGCTATCATCAAAATCATAATCCATGAAAACATATCCGCAACATAAAGCACCATTGTGATACAACACGCGAGGGATATGATTATGGTGCAACTGGAGTTGTGACATGGGAGGAAGATGATTACAACACAAGCTGAGTTATGGGTTTTGATTTAGGTATTAATGTATCAATGAGAAGTTATAGGAATTCTCAAATGATTTTGGTGGCCTTTCGGTCTTGAAACTTCATATATACATACATGCGCAAAGAGAGACAGGGAAATATTGGTTAACTCAGGCCTAACATGATTCCATCACAGTTCATTTGACTACGGGGAATTGAGGCCTCTTTCAAGATTCCCATTCTTGCTATGTGCCTACAAGTGACTTGGAGAAAAATATTCAACAATAATCAGATAAACTTAATGAAAACTCTTAAGATATTATAATAGAAAACATGAATAATCTTAGTATCTATAGAAAATATGCCTTGAAGACATTCCTTCTAATGATAGCCTTCATTCAAATTTCTTAGAAAATATTCTAGAATACTAGAATTCATGCCAATGTGCGTTCATAGGCTGATGCAACAGCCTTGGCAACAAAATAGGAAATTGGATAATTAGAAACAGCCACACCCAAGGAATGTAGTTGGAAGCTTTTGATCGATTGATTTAAAAATTCTGATTCCATTTTTGAATCTTGCGTTCATGTTTGATGCACAAAATTTTCTAGTGCAATAGAATTGTGACCGCTAATTTTCGTGGAAGCCATGTCCTTGTATATGTGGTCTTCTGGATGCAGTGGGGTTGATGGAGGATTACATGTTAAGCTTGAAGGGTGATAATGGTCACGATGATCATAATAAAAATCATGTGAATTGTTCCATGAGCAACGAGTATGATCTTTTTGGTAGAATATGAATCATGAGGTAAAAATTATGGTCATATGAATGGTTTGGCAAATATTTTCGACAAAATGGAGAATTTTAATAAAAATATCTATCATAAAAATATTCTCGAAGGATGATAACCAATCTTTTTGTTAAAGTGATTATAAGATTTAGAAAAATGACAAGCTTTCCTTGAAGGGCATGAAATATAAGAGTGATAGTCCATAAAGAAAGATGTACAAAAAATGAAAAGAGAGATGAAAAGTATGAACCTAATGGGAATTTATGAAGGTTTAAGTTTGTGGAGTTTATGGGATTATAGTAAAAGATCAAATGTAATGGGAAATTGATGCGGACATCGGTACAAAGATTTGGTGCATCTATCACAGGAGGCGTCGTAAATCGACGGCTATAATTTAAACCTTCAATTATGATTTATTTTTATGAATTTTAGTTCTTAATTAATATATTTCATGTTTTACCCCTAGGATATTTTATGTGAGTGTTATGGCCCAAGGGGCAATTTTGTAATTTTTGAATTTCTCATGTTGTGGCCTATATATAGGGCATTTAGCTATTGTAATGGGGATGAAGATTGATATGAAAAAGAAAAGAAATTTGTGTTCCACACTTGTGCTGTTGTGAGAGGATGATAATGAGATTTCTATGGAGAGGAATCAGAGTTGTTGCCAGCCGCAGGATGGGTCCGGTCTCGTGATTTGAAGTCCCTTGGAGAAGGGCAAAGAATCACTCATCAGTCTTTGGAAGAGTCCAAAGGCTCGCGGTTTTTATCCTGTATCTTTCGTTTTTATCTTCTATCGTTTGTTTCGATCTTTGTTTTTGTTTTGTCCCTTCTTATTGCTCCTATTCGTCATCTTCCTCCTCCTCCCCTATCCACCTCACGGCTAAGCCCCCATACCCAAGCCCCTTGCCGCCGGAGCAATTTCATTGCCGCCGAGCCTCCATCCCCTTTTGCTTCCCCTTGCCTAATTGGTTTGATAAAATTCATGGCTAAATTGGGATTCAAATTCAAAACATTTTGAATTTTGAAATCTTTCCTAAATTAGTGAATCTATTTTAGGAAAGTTTCTTAAGTTAACAAGGTTTAAATTCAAATTCAAATGGAGTTAATTAAATAATTTCCTAAGTTTAAAATCATTTTAAGCAAGTTTGTACACATGACACCAAATCCAAATTCCTTCGTCACCATGCCGCCGGCCCCCTTGGTGGTCCCCTCTACTTTAATGCTTCATTAAGGGATTTGATTGCATGCTATTTAAATTTCAAATTCAAAATTGCATTATGAATTAAATGCCATGAATTCCTTCTTAATTTAAATTCATTTGAATTCTATATTCAATTGAATTTTATATTCAAATCTAAGAGCATTAAATCACCTCATTACTCCCATCTCAGTTTTAATTCCTATTCTAATCCCCCAAATCAA